ATAATGTTGACAGTCTTTTTCCACCTCAACATTGAGTTCATTTGTCCTTCCTAGAAGTTTCCGTTCAGCAACATGACCTGCGTTATTTCATGTCACACTAAGCTTCTTTCATTAGTTCCGATTCGTCAAGAATTCTTTTTTAAAAAATTAGCTAAGAGGTTTGTATACATCCACACATGAATGTGGGACTAATAAAAATTAGCATTTTTAATAGAAAACTATACTGAAGGAATGTCCCCAACTAAAGCAATAAGAGAGCACAATGAAAATATACAAGTAATTACATGTATATTGGATAGAGTTATGTACTAAAATATGACTTGCACAGACTGCAGAGAAGAGAAAAAAATATCCTGATAGGTAATTTTTAATAGTAAAGATGAGGATAAAGTTGGTCACTAAAAAAAGCCTTTAAACTGGTTGATATCTTATGAACTCATATCTCACATACCAGGAAGAGACATTTAACGTGATTATGTTCTGAAAAGTCCCTTGGTTAGCCAATTGATCACACATTGAATCTAATTATTTTAGTCATACACACCCTACCAATAAAATAACACAAAAAAATTCTAACATCCAAATTAGTTTCACATTTTTTCTAACTAGTCTTTTGTTTCCACCCAAAAGTTTTAGTTAAGGTGTCAATAAGTCATTTCATAGTCTTAGTACATTTACTCCTCTATAGAAACGCAGCTACTAAAAAAATTTTGTTCGTTTGTTTTGCCAAGGTTTGAAACATTTGTAAGGTATTTATAGAGAGAAAAGTACCTGTTTCTGTAAGCTAATAAACACAGCAGCTGCATCTTTAAGTTTTCATGTGGCACACATTTAACTCTTAAGTAAATGGTACCTTAGAACATAATAGGCTTCTATGACTAAGTAATTTTAAAAATTTTTGTTTCTCAGAGTATTCTAAAAGTTAAGTTCCAACCATTCATAAAATGTATTTGGATACTGCTTGCCATGGTTCAGGTCTTTAACGAATGTTTAATAAGATCTGATACTGAACTGACACAAACAAATTCTAACAATGGAAAATTAGAATCAGATACAGTAACATTCACTCATTGAGATTTGAGATGGATAACACCTGAGATGTTTCTTCTGTCCTATTTCTTATGCTTGAATTGTTGCCATAATTAACTGTTTTTATTGATATGCTCCTTAATTTACTTCATTGCTTCTGAAAGAACAATAACACTCTGACAAAGTCATTGAAACCAGTTAATAGAACACTGAAGAGTTGATACATACCTCATCAAGTATCTGATGTATGAAGTGAGATGGGAAGTAATTTGCTAATGTATAATTTTTTATATTGTCTCTTCTTATTAGGCATTTTTAACATTACTTTTTTGCTTCCCTTTCTGTTTGTCAAGATCTGCTATTTTCTCCCTCCCGCACATTTCTTTATCTCTCTCTCTGTCTTTCTCTCTCTCATACACACACATCCCTCATTTGTAAAATAATCACAATTACTGTTTATACATCGACAAAACTGAATTTTTTCCCAAATATCAACTTTTTATTAGATCCTATCCCTTTGGATCCTCATGAATTTTTGTGCATTAGGATCAATTATGATACTCAAGGTATTTTTCTCTTGTCATTTTGACGAAAATAAAATGTTAATTCTACATTTTATTATATTCTTATCTCATGTAGTTCCTTAACTACTACCTTATAGTTTAAATAAGAGATTTAATGTGATATTTCAAAGTTTCTTCTATCCATCCAAATTATATGCAAAATGTTGATGTGATTATATGTGCATTATTATAAATTCCATCAGTCTCACAAAATTTTCAAAGCTTTTGGTTGTTGAACTTTTATGACTAGCTTACATAACAGGTAGGGACTGCTAACAAAATTATAAACTGAAATATCCCTCAATTGGCCAAGTAATCACATACTGAATCTAATAATTTTCATTATATATACTTATAAAAAGAAAACATACAGATAGTTATTCTAGCATCCTAAATAGCTTCATGTTACTTCTTATTGGTGTGTTTTTTTTTTTTTTCTTGTTATAACTAGCAAAAAGTTGAAAACTACAGGTTAATCTTAAATACAGCAAATGTAGCTATCAATGATAGCAAGTATGCAAGAAATTATTGAGGATATGAATAATGACGGAGATAATATACAGAAGGAAACAGAAATACTTGTCTACTTAATTTTGCTGAAAACTTTTTAATGATTTATACACCACCATATAAGCTTTTTTTGTTCATGTATGTACTATTAATGGTAGCCACATTTTTTAAAAATATATGACAATCTGAGGGAGAATGTTATTTTTTCCATTAGAACTCAAGCTATTAAATCCATTATCCATTTTTGTTTCCCTGTCAATGCAATCTGTCTCTTTGCTTTGCCCCTATTAATGCCACATTGAAAAATTGAATCTGTTCCCTAAGTTAGTCTCTAACCTCTTTTATTATTTGAAAGAGAGTTTAGTGCTTGGAAACTTGCTCGGGGAAATAGAATTCCCTTCCTAAAATTTTCCATTGCACAAACATCAGTATTGCAAGCATGTTCACTAGTGAGCCTCTGGCCTGCTTTTGAAGAATTACTGAACAAAATGACTGAGGTCAATATAGGGTTTCTCAGAGGCTCTGCTAATTCATATGTTATAGGACGCTGATCCCTTCAGACTAAACGAAAAGCCACCGCTTTCTAATGCCCACTGTATGTGGGGGAAGTGGAGGTGGGAGACAGGATGGGGAGAGATTGTCTGTTTGGTCTATGGGCTGTGTAGAAATAAAGAGAAAAAACTTAATAAACCAAAGCCAAATTCAAAAAACCTAAAAAAAAATTCCTTTTTGTCCCAAATGTATTCTGTTTTTAATATTAAATTATTTTATATATTTCTTAACAAAAGTATTGCTTATTATACATAATTTGCAAACATTAGATGAGCTAGAATAATCTGAGTGCTCAGCTCCAACATGTGCAGCGGATGAAGTAATCTAAAAAACAAATCAACATTTTTTTCTCAGATGAATAAGAAAATAGGGTAGACACATTAGCAGATTTCATCCACCTCAGCCACCCTAAACTCTGATTTCTGTCTCCTGGTCTGTTCAACTCACTGAGACCACTCTGGTCTGTGTTGGATTTCCCTGCCTACATCATGAGTTACCAGGTTGGACTGATCCTCCAGGCAAAAGGCCGGGGTGTTTGTAAGACTCACAGCACTTGAAAGGAACGTTTTCCCACTTTTGCATTTCCTGCTCTCCAATGTCTAAAAAGAGTATTTTCATATATTTTGTTTAGTTTTCTACATGTTTAAAATGGGAAAGTAAATCGATTCCCATCTACTCTCTCGTGAAAAGAAGCTGAAATCCCTACCTTTGTTTTTGGATTGGAAAATTTTAAATTGAATTACATGGCCGAGCATGGTGGCTCACACCTGTAGTCCCAGCACTTTGGGAGGCCAAGGCCGGCGGCTCACCTGAGGTCAGGAGTTTGAGACCAGTCTGACTAATGTGGCGAAACCCTATCCCTACTAAAAACACAAAATTTAGCTGGGCATAGTGGCCTGCGCCTGTTATCCCAGGTACTCAGGAGGCTAAGGCAGGAGAATCGCTTCAACCTGGTAGAAGGAGGTGGCAGTGAGTTGAGACCATGCCACTGCACTCTGGACTAGGTGACAGAGTGAGACTCTGTCTCAAAATAAATAAATAAATAGATAAATAAATAAGTAAACAAACCTCTTATTAAAAAGTACACAAATTATAAATTCAAAGATTAATTTTCATAAAAGGAACAAACTCATGTATATAGCAGAGTAAGAAATAAAATATTAACAACACCCCAAAGCCCCCGTATGTCTCTTTTTAATCATTGTAAACACCGTGCTGACTTTTAATCCCATTGATGAGTTTTG